TCTTCCACTGTGTGGAGAGAGGCTTTATAGGGGGTTGGGGAAAGGGGAGGAGAAAGGACTGTGGGCCCTGCCGATTGGCCAGGCGCAAGTCGGTGTCTTGTCACACAGGATGTGGTCATATCTATGGCGACTTCTCTTGATTGTCATTGGCCAGTTCAAAGAAGTCCTAGGCGTGGCCAGCAGCGGCTTGGCTTCCGGGAAGAAGCCTTGCTGAGCACATGGCCAAGGTAAGATGGAGGGCATAGCCCTTACCCTGGGGCAGGGTGGAGGGCGTAGTCCTCGCCCTTTCAGTCCTATTACCTTGACTGATCTAGTGTTTATCTTAGACACAAGTGATTGCATTTGGACAATAAATTATATGGGCACTTTTTGTGTGTGTGGCTTCTCAGCCTTTATTGTTAGATCACAATCTGCACCATGAATTTCTAAGAGGAGGGGTTAGTATGTGCTGTACCCCAAACCTTTCTGACCCTGATCACGAGAGTGAACATTTTCATCCAGACCTAATGGCCATAGCAATTCTGGACACAGGAGTCATTCCTGGCTGGTCATCTAGCAGCCCCAACTTAAAGTCGTTCAATACCAAGGCTACGTTCCATCTTCATGGAGTCCTTTTCAAATGATGTTTAAAATCCCTGGACTTATTAGAATTCCAAAAATACCTTCTCTAGCGTGTTTTGGAGCTGAGGACTCTAGGAAACAGCGTACTGATTGGGTGGTTATCGAAGGAAATGAAGTTGCGCTGGCCTTTGTAGCGGTTAAGTGTGCGCTCTTGCCCGTCGGCCCAAGTGCCACCTGCCGCCCATGACCTGGGCCAGCGGCTCGGTTTCTCGGGTCTCAGTCTCCCCATCTCCAAAGCGGGGAGATGGCTGCTGGGAGGCCGGAGGGCGGCTGTGGAAAGTGCACACAGAGCTCGGCACGAGCAGTGCCCCACAGCACCCACCAAGACGGCGCCTGCTGCTCACCCAACGAGTGTCCCGCACGGTCCGGGCACCAACTGATAACGATCAACAGGACGAGGAAATCTCTGCCGCCACGGATGCCCCCGGAGGGAGGAGCCAGGCGCGGCCAGCGGATGGCTGTTAGGAGGCAAGGGCAGAAAGGGGACCGGAGCCAGCGGGCAGGTCTGGGGGCCCAGCACCCACAGGCCGAGGCAGGAGGATGCGGACCGTGGCGGGGGCGGGAGCGGGCAGCGCCGTGGGTCAGGGCAGGAGAGGGAACGCGGGCAGTTGCCTCCTGGGCTCCCACGGGCCACGACGTCCCCTCCTGGC